GATGAGTGTGCCAGAAAGTGTTTTTATTCGTTATACTCAACTGGAAGTCACCTAACAACAACAACAACAACCGTATTCTGAGGAGATTTGCATTTGAGTGGATTTACAGACCGTTCTTGAACTTTTTATTGAATAGATTTACATTTAGGGAGGGGGGAAGAGAGAGAGAAGAGAATTTTGCTTTTAAACTGCAACAAGCAGATTGATTTCTGAGATAGGAAAAAGTTTATGTCTATCAGAACATCCTTAGAGAACTTGAGGTGAAAGAGAGCCAGTGAATATGCTCACTTGTGGTGACCACTTGCATCTACTTGGCATGTAGAAGTACAACAATGAGGTGACAGGCTGAGTTTGGACATGTTCCATTACTACTGTTGACATAGCATGCACAGATTTATGGATAAGCACGGCATAATTTGTTTACTTAGGTTCATATAGATGTAAGACTGAGTGGAGGTATTAGCCAAAAATGTAGAAACAACTAACTGTGGGCTCCTGAGTATAAAGGTGATGCATATTTGGACCTAGCAATGGATTGTTGTTTTTGATTGCTTTTGCATCAAACATGACACAAAGCAACCCTAAAAACAAAAGGTCTGAAGCCTTTCTATGGCTATTGTCATTTATCAAAGTTCATAGAGTTTCTGCTTCTAGAAACCCACTAGAGAGTCAGCTAAGGATTGGTTACAACTTTACAGTACAACACCACCATAGTAACAAAAATTATGTATCACTGCTTTATAAAATATCATTTAACATATTTATATTATATAATTATAAAAATGTTTTTGTTTCCCCCAACATATTTTATAAATAGCATATGTTTTAATGGTCTGAAAAAGATCCATTTAAACGAAACAAATTGATTCTTAGTTCATTGAAAATCTTTTATCACCAGTAATATTTTTATGTCCTTTGTGGTTTTTTAAAAATGTGTTTCTTAAATGGTGACCATCATCATTTCCAATCCAGAGATAGATGTTCCAATGCAGTACCTATTTTCCATAAATGGTTTTGGTAAGAGGAATGTTGTAAATGTGGATACATTTCCAACATTCCTCCTCCATGACACGATATAGTGTTATTAGCTTGAGCATTTATAAATCCATTGCCATCCTTACTCTAACTTAATT